AACATATCAAGTAGATAAAAAACAATACATGTATACATATGTTTAGATACATATACAATCATATGTATGTATATATATATAGATATAGATATTACACGCCATATCTACGCAATTATATATATACATATATATAACCATGAACTGCGTATATATATATATATAATATAACGTATGATGCGGGCCCGTGGGCCGACCCTCACACGAGGACCATGGCCCACGAACGATGATCTCCGTGATCCAAATCATCAACATCATTGTGGGATGGCGACCCCTCAGAGGCAGGCTCTTGATTTAAGAACGCGCCATCATATGGATTGAACAACTTCTTTGTTTTATCAATCAAGAGTCTCTGATGCTTTGGGTGTGGGGTACTTTGATCCTGCAGTGTCAACCTGATCAACCTCTCACTGTCCAGCCTTTTTTAGGTAGTCCACCCAAGCCACCCAGGCTCCGGATGGCGTTGATCTGATAAGGGTTTGTTAAACACGGAAGCGACCCTTATTTCCTTCCATTAGCGAACCTGGAGTTCAAGATGCTTCAATTTGAAATGCATTTTCACGCTATGCATTCTTTTGAACATCAACTGTGACGTTAAAGACACAATGCCAATCCCAGCAGACACGTGGGCAATCCCACTTTCCGGTCACCTCAAAAAAACCAATAACGACCGTGGGCGATTCAAGTAACACGCAGGACCACCACCCGACCCACTCGACCGATCCCACTTCGGGGCCTTTCGAGGTCCAAGCGATCCTCAGCTCGTCGAGACTCGGCTCCCAACTGGGAGACTGTGGTTGACCGGCCACGAGACTCGGCTCCCAACACGAAAACATTTTGGAGCCTTTCGGTCCAAACCGAACTGACTGGAGACTTGTTTGGGGTGAAGAGTGGCTGTGGCTTTGGTTTAAAGTGGTTGTGAGGTCAAACTTTCGAGTAGGGTATCGTTGGGATGGCGGGAGTTTGATACACGAGACGCAGTAGGTTTTTTTCTTTGACCTTGCAACACTGGCGGCGAAGAAATGACACATACCATATGGATCCCACATGCCGTCTGGGAGGGGTTGGAGGCAATTTTATGTAGGCGCCAGGAGGGTCCAATCCTGCCTTCTGGCAAGGTATGTGGATGCCTAATTAGACTCTTGGAGCAAGCCGAAAGAGGTGTTTCAAACCAAATGGCGGGGGGGGGTATGTGGATGCCAAATGTAGACCCTTGGAGGAATAGACCATGAACCACCCCAAGCCGAAAGAGGTGTTTCAATCCAAATGGCAGGGGTAGATGAATCAAGAGTCTACATTAGGCATCCACATACCCTGTCAGAAATCATCATTGGACCATCCAAGCCCCCTACCACCCTCCCAGACAGGATCATGTGGGATCCATAGGATATGGGAGACGTTTCCTTTGGCCCAGGATCCTGATAGGCGATGTAGAAACATGCAATATGGCAGCACACCAGCGCTGAGAGTTCCAGCGCCTCGGCTTTTTTCAACACGAAAACGGGTCCTTTCGGCGCAAGAGGATTTTTCTGCCTCTCTAGGTGGGAACATTGAACGGAAATTCCCTTGAAGGCACCAATAGGGCAATACGTCGTGGCAGTTACATGCAGTGACGTTAAGTTGATGGAGGTCATTCTGTCCACTTCCTTGAACATGTGGGATGCCGGTCTTTGTGGCCTGGAAAGACGTGTTTCACATCCAACCGGCGGCTGTCACGTGCTTCACAGGTTTCCAGCAACACTGACAACAACAAACAAGAAACTCAGAAAACATCTGCGCAGTCATTTCACTAGTGCTGACAGGTTTGTCCAACCGATACAGGTGCGCCCCCATACAACACACAATAGCAACGCGGCATAGCCAGCCAGCACCTCTTGCGCTCCCGCGAGCGTTGGTCCACGGGCCGACATGACAGACAACAGCGAACATTCACACAAATACTCTGGAAGATACCCACATGGAACCAGAAAACCACTAGGTTGTAGAGGAACATGGATGTTGACAGAGTCAGAAAGTAAAGTTGGAAACCTGAATGTTCCGAGTTCACACGCAAACATTTTCCAGATTTATCCGACTGGAAAGACCTCAACCATCGGCTGTGCGTTGTCTCTTGCTTGCAAAAGAAGGCAGACTTGAAAATACAGCCTGCGCACCAAGCTCTGCTAACATATTCTGCGGCATTCGGGCCGACATCAAAATCACCTGCGCTTTCCCATCAGGATCAAGCGCCAATCTCCCGCAGAACAAGCAGAGAGCAAAATCTCCAAAGCAGTCGCGGGCCTCGTCAATAACAAGGCTCACACGCTTCCCGCTCTGCGCGCGTCTCTGCCATCTATGCAGTGACGACACAAGGTTCCCGTGCGGCAATGCAATGACCTCACCAGCCTTTTGGTTCTTAAAGCTGATCTCTTAACAGTCATCTTTGCCACCCTCAAGCAAATGGATCGGGTCACCATGGCAATGCACCGTCTGCAAGACGACCGGCGCAAAACCATACGTGTCCTTCAAAAAAGGGCTCAGCCGAGACACCCCGTCGATCTTCACAAGCCGTCTCATTTAAGAGCGCCAAGACTACAAGCTCTGGGCGGCCCGGTTTCAAATCTTTCGATTGCCCCAGTCTTTTCCCACTGCTGATCACTTGATCACCGAAACTTCTTCATCACAAGGCTCGAAACTGTTTAAGAAACGAAGCGCACGAGCAGCTATGTGTTGGTTTGTCTTGCCTTTCCCTGCTGGCGCACAGATGGACAATTGACTATGTGGGCACCTTCATACACTGCAACACCTCCATACTTTCCGATTTCCGTTGGGACCCATTCACACTCTTGATGCCCAAGCTCGTCATCGCCTTCATCACTCTCAAAGTCTGCACCATCCGCAATGGCGGAGCTTGGAGCATCGTGACCAAACCAATCAGCAATCAGCTTTGGGACCGGTTCACCTTTTGCAATGTACTCGAACGCCTCCGAGGGTTCTGATGGGCCCTGGTTAAAACAACTTTGGCGACAGCCTCGCAGCTGCCATCACTTCAAGCACACTCTTCTCTTTCTTTGTCACTTGCTGCGAAAAAATCGCAAAGAACAAGGGACGCACCTGTCGCATCCGGTGACTGCTTCCGATCTGTGGCTTGTGGAGCATCATAAACCAAACAGGCTCCAGTTGGGTCACTAACTAAAGACTTGAGACGTCCGCTCCAACAAGTAAGCTTTCGGGTGACGACAGCCATACCCAAACAACAGTTTTTTCGATTGGCCAACCACAGTCTCCACAATTGGGGCCACATTCACTTGGCTCTGCTTTGCGGTCATCCTTGCCATAATATCCGCTGCTTTCAAGATTGGAGTTAGCACCTGATAGAGAACAAAGCAGACGTTGGATACCGACCAACAATTTCTTCCATTTTCTGTTTTGTCATAACTTGGCCAGTACCGTCTTCATGGGCCTCATCAATGTGGCCTGCTGATGCCAATAACGAATCAACAGACACTTCTGCAACAAGTTCCTGAAAAGCCACCGCAATGTTCAATTTCCTGCAGCAGCAAATGGTGTGCGGCTGCAAGTGGGTCACTACACAACTTTGCCACATGGTTGACATACCCACACTCCTGATGGGTCGCGAGCTCACCTGCAGCAGAAATATGATCGCGTTGGGCGGCCTCCACCTTGGACGCACGATGCCTCAACAGATGCTGTCGCCTTCTTTAACTGCAACCTTTCCATTGTTCTCGCCAACACCTTCTCACCAAGCTGGTAAGCAGTACTCAGTACTCGGGTTCTTCTCAGAAGAGGCCTATTGCCTTCAAAGTTGACAGCAACTTGGAACAATACCAAATCACTTCCGTCGCAGCCCGGACTCTTGGTACGAGGGGAGAACCATGTACCTTCCCAATCAGCCCGGACAACCTTCACCGTCTTGTCAATCTCGAAGCAACCTGTTGCTTGGAGAAACTTTTGCACGCAAACAGCTTTAAGTTACTTCTCTTCTGAATCACCAAGCCTTGGTTGACCACGCCATGTAAAATGCTGGAGCGCGGCAGTCGTTGGCCGACCACCCAACAGCGCACCATGTCAAGTTCGTGATCTCTGCCGGTTTCCAACGGAGAACACGCAGCACCAGAATTCCGGGTCCTCACATCCCTCCAAACTGCCGCAGCACCTTCAGGCTTCATCACATCAAAGCCATCAGAATCAGTCGGTGGCACAAGACGGACACGGCAACGAAGTAGCAGCTTCGACACATGGTGGAGCCCTGAGTGGACCAGAGATGCAAAAGCCTTCCCTGCACGGGGAAGAAAGCCAGCATTTGACGAACACACTGCCACAAACGCTGGCCACTCCTTATTCGAAGAGTCAAGCTTTTCAATCATCGCATTCAGTCTGCCACCCAACCTAAGAACCAAAGTCGTGCCACGAATGACAACCTACCGGTCCAGACCTCATGTCACCTTCGGAAAGCAAACATGTGAACGCTAGGAGGAAGCCCTTGGGGCGTTGGAATCTCCACTCCGCGTGCAGCTTTAGGGAGTTTTCTCTTCACGACGCTCTCAATGACATCTCCAAATGGGACTGGCTCCCCGGGCCGAAGAAAGGAGTCACCGTAAGCTTCGTAGTGTCCAAGCTCGATCGAGAACATCGGAACAGGTGCACGACCGTGCCGTTCAGTTCCATTCCAAACGACTGTATCTCCTCACGAGATAGCTCACGAGAAAGCTTCTTGGCAGCTTTCGCACATTGAACGAAAATCAGCACCCCAAAGGGTAAGAACGCCCTGCTAGGCAAACTCCGTGCGATCCGGTCTCCTCCGGTTCAACAGGGTCTGTCTGAGTCTACCTGGGCCCAGTGGATGATGATGGGGCCTGGTTGCAGGCCTTGTTCAAAAATAGTAACAATTGTATACTGACTGTTACAGGTAATAGGACAGACCCAAGACAAACAGATTTTAACACAACTATATGATACTATAAATAGTATGTACAACTCATATTTTGGTTGGTGAGTGTCTTTTATCGATTCTCCGGACGGAGAATTTTAAGCGAACGCGGGCTCTGAGGCGCGAAGACGCGGAAGCTGGTGGCCATGAGCCGCTCGGAGATGAAGGACAAGCCGATGACCACCACGACCTCCGGCCGACGGGTCGGTCACGTTTTTCGGAGGGTTTCGTGGGTGAGCGCCTCCAAGAGAATTAGCTGTAGACCCTGGAGCCGTTCAGCCTTTTTAGCCTTCCGTTGGAGCATTCAACAATACTGGTTGACCAACCTATAGTTTTGCAGTGATGAGATCCTTTGTAAAGCAATGGTTGTTCGGCAAAGCCTATTTAATTAATGGTGCTTGGAATCCTATGGGGTGTATGGTGTCACAGTCATTACTCGATTGAGTCGGCCGTGCCGAGTGGACGAATGAGTGGGAGCCGCCTTTTCGATTCAGTCGCGACAGTGCGTTTCACAGGGTCTTTTTCCTCTGTTCCCCGGATGGGATAATCGTGGTAGATTTGACCACCCACCCAACCAGCTGCATCCAGCTGCCTACCTGCCTCTTCCGCCTGACCAGGAGGCGTTCCCTACACGTCCGCCTTTTCAAAGGTCTTTCTTGAAGACAAGGTTCAAGGTTGGAAACACGGAAAGGGGCGGAGTTTCAAGTTGAAGTGTCAGTTTCCAAGGTGGAAGTTCAACCTTGAGTCCGAGGTGGAGTTCTCTTTGTTGAAGTGAAACACTGCAAAGGTGGAGGCCCTCCGGACGCTTCGATCTTGGGGCGGCTCCTTGCGACCTTCCGCGTACTTCGGCTCTTCTTCCGATGGTGTTTCGTCGTTTGGGGGCCAAAGGAGACACCGGCGCGGTCCAAAGCGCTGTATTATGTGTGAAACCATTGACCCACCAGCTGCCACCACCTGCCACCACCTGCCATGTAGGGAAATCCTTCGGATATGCCAGCAACGGCCATCACCCAAAGCCATGATTTCAGGAGATCCGTAGAGTCGCGCAAACGTTGTTCGGTCGCACTGCAATCTAGGTTAAGAACCCGTGTGATGGGTGGTTGGGAGATGAGGTGTGGGTTTGGGCATAACAGTTCTTTCTCTCTTCATGTGGCCTACGTCTTATTTTAGCTTCTGAGAAGGCATGAGGGATAAGTGATAAGTGCCAGAAAAGTGCAGGTACCTTCTGAGAAGGTAATTGAAGCCCTAGCAGCATTCAATTCACCAACCTCACGCATTGAACACGGGCTCCTGCAGCCCAACAACTCTGACTCCAAGTGGCATAGAAGGTGTGCACTTGAAAACCGTAGGGCTTCTGCGCCTCAGTTGGTGTGAACTCCCCGGTCATTGATGCATCGAAAAAACGCGAGGAAAGAGCTTGGACACCTCTGGTCTGGCTGGTTCGTAGATAAGCACATCCCCTGACTCCCTCAGTTCACGGAAAATAGAGGTTAACCTAACCGTCCACCTACAAGTAACCAGGGGCCCACAAACCATCCATGATCTGGTTTTTCCCTAGCAAAACACCTGGCTTTTATCTATGAACACCATTATTTTTCATGGTTTTGAGGGCCCCTGGTAGTCTTGTTTAGTGGAATGTCCCCACTCCCCACCCCAAAAAAAAAGAGGGTAACCTGGCCGGGACCTACCAAACCGTACTGTCCAGTCGACCCCCCCGGGACCAAACAGTGCGGTGAGCGGTGCGCCAGAGTCAGTACAGTACGGTTGACCGGGAGAGTGAAAACAGACCGACGGTGACTGGGTGAAACATGGAGTGAAACAGTACGGTCAACGGTATACCCTGGGAGTCGGTCAGACTATCAAAAGAATGGTCCAGTCCGAACGGTGACACGAGTTAAGGAATTTCCTGGATCCTTCAGTCGGTCAAAATATATTCTTTGGACTTCTAGGGTATATGTAACTATATGACCCCATGTATGTCCTATGAAGCTAATTGAACCTATACATGGAGGAATAGTTACCATATGTTACCATGCATTGGCTGAATCGTCTGGTCTGGGTATGTTGAGAGGGACATCTTTCTCTTTTTGTGACTGCACTAGACTGGCCCTGAGATGCGCTAGACTGCACAAATCCAACGCCGACTTCGAAATGGCTGTGGATCCAACGACAGCTTGGTGACCTCCCGGTCGGCTCGTCTATTGCGTTCATGTTCCGTAAGGGTCGACTGGTGACTCCAGCTCCCCACAACCAAGACTCCATGGGACTGGCACTGGTGACCGGACTGGTGAGCCCCAGAACGACCCCGTCGTCTGAAAAACCACCCCAATGTAGACTCCCGAAAACTAACATAGACCCTGACAATGGCCCCCTGGAAGAGTGTTTTCCTCTACCAACCAGTGGTTTCGAGGGTCCATGTTAGTCTTCCAGGGAGTAAATATGCCAGTCCCAGACAGATCGTGGGACTGGGAAATGGGCCTGCCTGGCTGCCTGCAATGCTTCGAAACGCCAGTGTCCATCCACGGCGCATGGAACTCAAAAGCACGCAACAACGCATGGGAAATCACGGGTCATGTAGACTCTTGATGGATCAAAACGCCCCAAACATGGGATTCTAAGACCTCTTCATATCGTTCACCAGTGGAAGGGGGTTGATTCACCTTCCGTTGGGGAATTTCGGGCTCGGTCGCTCCGTCTGAGGGGCTCGGTAGGTGTGCGCCAGGGCGTAGAAGCCGAAGCTGTTCAAGAGGCTGCGAAGGCCTCCGCGCCGGGCAAGAAATTCAGCAGGGCAACCCGCCCACCGACCGCTGTCTGGCTGGGCCAAAAGCGAATTGTCCGGCCTCTTATCAAGGGGCAAAGAGATAGGCTGTACAAACAGCATGATACATTTGGACCGACTTCTGCGGCTTCGGCGCCGGCAAAAAGCACGAAGTCGGATGGAGTAGGAAGCGAAGATCCCTTGGTTGGTTGATATACGATATATTATGATATATTGAAAATTACATCAAATCCCAGCAAACATTTCTCTGATTCATCAGCGACTGGGAACCCTGATCCATATGTTAAGTTGATGAACAGTCTGTGGTGCACCAGTGCATTGCAAAGAGAGCGAATTCTTTGCAACTACGAAAGGATGCGTGGAGCTTTTCATCAAACTGTACCTTGGGTTGGTACCCAACATGCTCCCACTGTACGGGCTACGCGACTAATCAGCACTGAAAAGGTTGGACAAAGGCCTTTCTCAAGAACATACCCTAAGTACTCAATACCAGAAACCATATGAAACATAAAGGTTTTCACATACAAAAACCATGGTTTTTTGCGAAGGAAAACACCAGGTTCATCGATGGTTTGTGGGGTCCCTTTCTGGTCGGGCCCGTAAAACGGAGGATGCTTCGGTCTCAGGTCGACATCTCATGCGAACCTCGGCACGTATTCGGCACGTCGGTCCCTCAAACCAATAGGGTTTGGGAACCGGGCCACCCCTGCGTTTCGGTGTCGAGTCCGACCGGAGTTTTGATTGCAACCATTTGAAAAACCTCCGATATGAAGAGGTTTACAATCTCTCTCTCTCTCTCTCTTGGGGCGTTTTTATTTATTTATTATTGTTATTTTTTTAACATCAAGATTCTGAATCTTAGCCAGATGGACCAAGTTGTTTCGTCTTCAGCAAACCAAGAGACCCCAAACCAAGAAGTAGGGCGTGTAGGTTTGCAGCTCATCCCAGTCATGCTGCATTTCCTCGGCGGAGTCGGCGCACGTTGGTGAAAGCATGGGATCTGAAGCAGCGGGGAGATTGGGGAGGAAATCACACTGAGGAAGGACTTGGACTTCTCTTCTGTTTCTGTTTCGGGTACAAAATGAAACACCTCACCCTGAAGAACCTGGCCTTCAAGTAGAAGGGCAATGGAAAAACCACTGTCCTGCACCTACAAACTTCCAAGCTCAGGTTCTGTCAGGCCTGGCTTGTTTCCACCTGCTTCCACCTCATCTTTTCCAAAGTGACATCAATGTGAAGCCACCCACCCGGAACCTTGATCTTCGTATGGGGCTTGTGGAACTGGACCTCCACCTGGACCTCCACCTCGATCCTTTTCCATCCGAAGTCCAGTTCGCGCAACCCGTCCAGTGCACTCCACGGAAGTTCCGGTTACGACGCGCACCCGAACGAGTCTGACCTTGAGAGAACCGGTGACCTGGCAGTGGAAGGTGCTGGGGCAGTGGCATCTTCACATCGATCCTTGAACCTTGAACCCAGCAGTGTTGCAATGGTCTTTTGCTATGCCTGGCCACCATGGTTTCTGGTACGTCATGTGCATCAAAACCATGTCTACCAACTTAACTCCCAGGAAACCATGGCTTCCGATCCAGCTCAAGGATCCAGGGATGTGATTTGCATCGAAACGCACCTTTTCTTGGATTGCAGAAATAGTGACCAATCCCCAAAGTATACCCTGAATGGGGGTAATTAGCCCATCGATGTGTGAATCATGTGAATCTGGCCTGGGCCTGGACCGCCTGGGCCTTCCGGTATCGGTCGTGAGGTAGGAGGCATCTTCAAGGTCCTGCCCGGTCCTGCCCCCCCTTCTTTTTCTTCAAACCACATCCTTTCTTTAGGGGTGCCACTTCAAACCTCCTCCCTCCTCCCCGTTCTCTCTCCCGGGTTGGAGAAAATTTGTTCTCCTCCCGTCCCCCGCCCCATCGTTCCCCAAAGCGCCATGAGCGTGAGCTCATTGGAGATCTGCCTCGCGTGTCCGCGACGAACGCCGACGAGGAGGGAATCGGTGGCGGAGAACCGATCGGCGGAACCGACACGGACGCGGATCGTTTCAGAATCGGATCGGTATCGTTCAGGGCGAGCATTGGGAACAACATCTTCGACAGAAAGAACACACGAAAATAACAGATGTTGTTTTCGACAAATGAACATCATTGTTTTTCTCGTTTTGAGGTAGCATGGCTTTCATCTGCAGCCTTTCATTGGGGATCACCTCTGTTCCTGGCTGCGGCTATTGTTGGTTATAGTCGTGTCATCAATACTGCTATGAGGTGGTCCAAGATCATGGTGCATTGGTTCATCCATCTAAAACATTCAGTTCCCTGGCATCTGTGGGCTGCAACTTAGGCATCTGATTGACTGCGGTCCCCCGCAGCATTTACCGCATCAACTGAAGTGAACGGTATTGAACCCCTCAGTGGTGCTTGTCGCACCCCAGTAGGGGACCTTCAGAAGCCTGTGAATTCAGGAAAACACATGGAAAACACATGCCTGCCAGCACCCTCCAACAGGTCTTTGAGGGTTGGGAAGGGCCCTAACAGGTTTTCACCATTGGTGAAGAAGAACCCTGATTGGGACGTCCGAAGTGACTACGGACGAACTCCCGAAGCCGTTTCGATGTGTGGAACATCATTGGGCTCAACGAACGAACTCCACTTGTCGGATTTGAGTGACTTGAGGTGACTTGAGTTCATTTGGGTCCTCACCATCCAGAAGGCCAAAATCGTTGGATTTTCCTGGAACTGCTCTTCTGGAGTGCGTTTGGCGGGAGCCTGAACATTCAAAACACCGAGCAAATCAACAGCTTTTGACTCTTCAGGGACAGTCTAAACACTGGGATTGCAAATATAGATCTCTGGCCACCTTCAGTTTCTTTAGAGAAAAACCATACCAAACACCTGATTCACCTTGAACAGCTAAGAAAACATAGCGATCCTCCTCTCCTCCTTCCCTCCAACCTAAACACCAAAGACCCAGCCAACGCCTTGTACAAAACACCTCCCCTCCAACAAAAAGAAGACCGTTTCCACCCGGTCAGCATCGCTGCCGACCCGCACCCGCACCCATCGAACCCCTCCTCCTCCGACTCCCGAAGCGTGGCGCGGCCGTGAGGTGCCGGGGAACTGCTGAATGAGTCGGTCCATCAAGGCGGTGCTCTCGGAGTCCACCTTCTGCCTTGGACGTGCGGGAGAGCGATGCGCAGAGCGATGCGGAGAGAGCGAGGCTGAGACGGAGACGGAGACTCCGCGACGCACGACGTGGTGCGGTGCGGATGCGCAGAAAGAGAGCGCGTTGGGGGAGGACGAGGGGTCGGTTTAAAGGTGCGTGTTTGGATGCTGAGATTGGGCTTCTCGACTTCCAAGTCGTTAAAGCCAGGTTTCCTTCACAAGGTCTGTTTGGTTCTGAATGGTTTGTGGAGAACAAAGCTGCGGCTCTGAAAACCTGGTGGACAAATCCATTCAGCTGGTTCGGTCAGAATCCCCCTTTACCAATCTAAACCTACTGGGGGGTGCAGTTGCCACCGGTCCTCCCACCAAATCCCAAAGCAGAAACCCATTTAGCTGATCTTCCACGGGGGTCGCTTTACTCCGGCCTTGCTCAAAAGGTGGTCGAACATTCTTGACCTTGCCAGACCCGCACGGAGGAACACCCACGATCAGTTCTCTGGTGTTTCTTGACCTCGACCAGAAAGTGGTGAACTCCAACAAGGTGCGATGCGAGCGGTATAAACCTTCCGTTCCTACAGGTATCTGCTGGGCCGGAGAACTTAATGAATTAATGAATGAGTTTCCAAAAGGGCAATCAATCAGCCTTGGAACAACCCGACTCTCCAGCTATACCTTCCCAAACCAAAAAAACAACTGAACAGTGAAGACACCGATGGAATTCCGCTCCAGGGATTCTCATATCACGGATATTCACAGATGTGAAAGTCTGTGGGAGGAGAGGCCACCCTCCCAGTTCGGGAAGCAATGTCACGACCAGCACCACCCAGTTCGGGTGGGTGCTGTCGTTCTCCCCCCGTTTTAGAGGTCGACTTTCCAATGCAAAAACCACCCGAACTGTGCTGGTGCTGGTATAAAGAGGTTGTACCATCCCAATGGGGTGGATGTACTCTTCGGGAGTCTACAGTCTACTAGCTGGATGGTTGCAATCCCGGTCACCCGCGCGTGGCACGTTCCGCCGCGACGCCCTCACGTCTTCACGCCCAGCAACCACAGCTGCTCGACGCCCAGCTTTTGCCCTGCGGTGGTCGTTGGAGATGCGGTGGTCGGCGCGGGGGCGGCTGTGCTCCTTATCAAACGTTTGGTCGACCTGGGAGGTTGGTCGGTCCACAAGCTTTATAGTACCTCAGCAAGCAAACAAAAACAAGCAATCTCCTGTACAAAGATTTGAGGTGGCAAGACTTCTTGTATGTGGCAAAGGACGTTCCAGAGGACATCCGTCTTCCCATTGACAACTTATCAGGCTGAACGGGGCCCATCCCCCAAAACTACCCCCCCAATCATCGCCCAAACAGTGCCGCTGTCCGGTGATCCAACGGACACCCAGACGGGATCTCTCCCCCGCCACGGCCGTCGGTCCGTCCTCGCCTGTGAGTTGATCAGCCCCAGGGATGCGGAGCACCTGCGACACGCCTGGTCAGCACGACTAGCGAATGGTCGCACCGAGCGGGGTTGGTGGAGAACGCTTGGTAAACACGACGTTGGCGCGCGCTTGGCGCGTTGGTGTTCGAACGGTTCAGGTGGCCAAAAGTTCCGCCCGACCCCTACGGAGGGGGTGGTGGGTGGTGAAATGGAGACACCGGTTATAACCGGCAACCCTCGTCGGTGCCAGACACCGAAGCAGCTCCCAGCCGGTCTGCGGGAGTGATGTCAGTGTCCCGGCTCCCAGCCGTGAGTTGCTGTGATAGGCATGAAGATCCAGAAGATCCACTCCTATCAGTTTTGCCTTACCTTCGAATGGACACCACACTTGGACCAGCAATTCTTTGTTCCAGCACTTGGGGATCATGACTTCCTGCAGCCATGTGAATGGGAACTGTACCCTGGCACAGATGATGGAGATGGTGTCCCCCCAAAAACGAAGGCCATGTCAACCATGGCCTCTTCTTGTGCCGCCTCCGCGAGCAAGGTTGCCACTCCAAACATAAGTTATCTTTTTCGGGTGTTCAAAATCAAGACCGTTCGAGAACGAAATGGAGGAACTCCTTGAACCACAAACGAAAAGGGGTTGTCGGTCGAATGGGTTGCTTCAAGGTTTGCAATTGAAAGATATGCTGCTCACCATCATCTGTACCCACCGAGCTTCTTCGAGCTTCTTCGAAGGCGGCTAAGGTGGCGAGGGGTGAGGTCAGGAGACCCTGGCTCGGTCAGTTGGACCTCATGAAAGACTGGACGTGGTCATTCAAAACCACTACTCTTACCGAGGTTTTCAAGACCAGGTTTAAGTGGGTCAGACTGGACGCCCTGCCGGGAGAGGCGATAAACAGGGACACAGGCATCAGGTCTGACTTGGCTCCAATCTCGCTGAGGCAACGGGGTAACTCACGTCTACCATGTCCATCATATCTCACATTTCAAAGCTGCATTAGGTCTTTTTGAGAAACATCAAACAGACCATTCAAAGCGGTTTTGTCTAGCTATCGGCTATCTACTAACCTAGATACCTATCTCACTGATTCACCAAAAATCACATCGCTGTTGCACCACTGATCAGCGAACCGTGCCTTTTTCTTGGCATCGTCCCCTTTGAAAACACACAGGAAATTCTCAGACTGAGACCTCGGTCTTGGACCGGGTCCCGTTCGCGAAAAGGGCGGCGGCGGTTCAGCCGGCCTTGCTTTTCGAAGGCCTCCGCCGTTTCCAGCTCCGCCGCCAGGTCCACGTCCTCGGAGCCGGGTGCGTCGTCGTTGTGGTCCACGGACGCGCGCAGCGATCACGTCTCTCACACACGTGAATGAACTGAAAGATCTTGCCAAACGCGACCTGTGTCTGGGATGAACCAAATCTTGACCTCCGGTTGACCCCTGAAACAACCACCCTACCCCTGGCCTGATCCCGATCAGAGCCAGGACTGCCGGTCCCAGATAGGTCGTGTCTGGGTATGGCAAAAATCCGTTTGTTGCAACCTACGGGATGTTTCTGAGAAGAAACCGCTACTAGTAACAAAGGGCATCGCTACCAGGAGCAAATAGCTACTAGGGGCGCTCCTGGCATTACTACTATAGGAATAAGAATGCTACAGTAGTATGTTGGAGGCCATTCCTATTAGGAGCAAGAAGCTACGCACGGTGGAGATCCCAGACGCTCCATGGGAGTGCCATATATGCCGATCAGTTGGGGTGGTGCCAGGGGGGGTCTGGCTGTTTCTCGGCAGTCCGCCCTGGCAGTCCCATTAGTCGCGTCTGGGTATTAGGCGACCGGTTCACTGATGGTTCCAGGACAGCCCGAAACACTGGACACCCGGCTGAAACACATACGAGACCGAACGGGCGGACGAAGTTCAGGACTCGATGGTCATATAGTATCTCTGGTGATATTCTTGGATTTGCTCAAGAAAGCAGGAACCAAAAATAGGGGAAAAAGATTTTTATGTAGACTCTTGATTAGGACTTTGAATCCAAATGGGATGGTTTATGCACCTCAAGAGTCTACGTTTACCAGGTACTGATTCTTTTTTGAGCCATCGCTGGCTTCGGACGCCACAAATGAGCCCTCCTGACTGATCTTGCAGAGCCGCCCTCATCATCTCCGCGAAGGGTGGCCGAACGCAGTTGCACAAGAGCTCCTGCCCGTCGCAGGACTCATCTGTGAGGGGCCATTTCTGCCCAATTTTTTTGGGAAAAACTTGGAGGGGGGGTTCAGTAAGTTAGTACCAGGATTTACCAGGTATCATGAGGTATCATGTACTATATTGGTGGTACATGACCCCGGAACCCCTTCTTCCGCTCCATTCACCCACCGTTCCGCGTTTTGGTTCTTTTTCTTCCGGGCCATCGACGGTGAGCGTCATGAGGCGACCTATAAGGTATACCTTAATCATCCTTGATGAGCGGTGAAACACCGGAAAACACAGGAGTCGGATGGAGTGAGTGGGTGGAAAGCCTTGGCAAGTGAAGGTTGAACATAAAGAATCTCTGAAAGGTTGCCACGAGGTCAAGATGCAAACCTGAGTGAGGTACTGGAACAGGTTCTCTGCTTGAACACTCTGATAGGCACCTTGGTAGGTTTCCTTCATGTGCTTTGAACCACCAGCAGCTTGGATATGCTTAAAGAACCGGAAAAGCAATTAGAACATCTTCCCTAAGGGCCCAGGTCAGGGGATTCACCCAGGACTAAACGCATCAACATCACGCCAGCCAGCTCCTGATTTTCAACATTTGTAGGATTCCCGGCCCACCATCAATTCAATAAGCTTTACCGAAGAACATGTTTTACCAGGATTCTACATGATTTTGCACTACAAAGCCAGGTCTTGGAAGGCTAGGGACATCCCTGCACTGCGCTTGGGTGCTGGGCCTACTCACCCGCCCAATTCACGCCGAGGGTAAAGGCTCGCCCCCAACTGAGCAACTTCACCGTGCGTGACTCCCAAACCAAACCTGATTGAACCTGCACAAACATTCCTTTGAACAAAACCCCAGTGCATCCCAGGCAAACCACTAGTAGTGAGGAACCACAATCGGAGGGGCTCCATTGAACAAGAGGCTTCCAATATGTTTCAATCTCTTCGGAGGGGCTCTCAGGACGAGTATGGAACCATATGTTCCATATATATATATATATATGGAGGGGCCCCCAGGCCCGGGGGTTCTTGGTCAAATGTGGGTGTGTAGTAGAATAGGGAGTACCGGGTATTGGTGAATTCCGGAAAGCCAAATTATTCAAGCTAACCAACCAAATGACCTCGGTCAAAAGATCAAGTCTCCTATAATAATACCAACCTGAGTGGGGAACTCCCCAATTCCCTTCCAAAACTCGTTCTTTTCCACAGCTTTCGGGGCGTGTCGTGGCAGCAGTTCCTGCCACCCGCGCGTGACGTTTGCCCCAAAAGGCGAAGAGTGTCCGGCGTCCCCGGTCCTTCTGGCACTTCCTCGCCAGAATGTTGGCACCTCACCGCGTCCACCGGGCCACATCGCGACGCGCCCGGTGCACGCGACGCGACGGGGTCGTCAGGCCCGAGGCCGGTGAACTACACCGGTGGAGTGTCCAGCGGGTCGACGGTGATCTGCGGTGAACTGCAGTGTTCAGATCTATCAAAGCAGGATCACGTTACCCAGTTCCATGGGAGCAGAACCCTTGGACAGCTTCTTCTGTCCACGTGTCGTTTGTGTCGTTTCACCCATGGGAACAACCTTCAACCACCATCATCCGGCTGGTGTTACAGGTGCAGTCTTTTGCTTGCAGTCGGGACCCGGTGACCCGGTGACTCATCCCGCGAAAACATGGATAGACGATGGGTCAGTCTAAACTAATTTATACCAGCACCCGACTCTACAGGTCTCCGGCATGGAGGTTTTTGTAGACTTAAACGTCGCAAATGGTGGTGACCTGTGAAGTCGGGTCCTGGTATGTGATATATTCTGCAGAACACTGACTGGTGCACTGTGTTTCACCCAAAAAACATCTCCCCCGAAAGCATGCCATCCACCTCCAGGGAAGGTGTGGACTCTCCAGAAAAGGGGATCCCTTTTAAGGAACACATCAAGCAGCACCGCATCGGCAACACGAGGACATAAGCACAACACTTTGTTTTCAAATGTTTTCAGGGACATATGGATCTTTTAATAGGGAGACACCCTGGCCCTGGCGGGGTGGACAGATTTACTATGTTCCTTCCACAGAGTTCGTTGCCTGGGAAGTCTCCCTATTTGAGCTACACACAGAACAACCCAGGCGTGCGAACCAACGGACGCGGAGCTCCCTCTGTGGCGGCTAAGGCGCTGATGGAAGCGATCAGGGAAACCAAGAAGTAGAGGAACGCATTGCTGATGCCTCGCTCGACAGAAAGATCTACAACAGCCAATTGAACAGATCTACAACAGCCAAAAGAGGAGTCCACCAATTTGGATCGGGGGGTGGGGAAAGATCTGGAACTCGTGATGTCCGACCTTGGGCACCGAAACGTATCCCCTTTATTGGTCAACCAACCAGTCTTCCGAACTTTGTAGGTTCATTTGCTATTACACTCCTTCCTATTGGTGTAGTTGTCCGATTTTGACCGTGTCGTTCTCTTTTATCTCTGTTGACACTGGTTACGCAGATTACGGTGGTTACCCTGATTACGCTGTTTGCACTGGATAATATGCTGGTTGCACTGATCATCATGCTGGCTACGCTGTTTACCATGGATTTATTACGCTGATTGTGCTGCTTATGCTGAATACGCTGTTTACGCGGGATGTGCTGGTTATGCTGGTAGCGGCGTAAAGGATGTAGCGGTGTAACTGGTGTATCCGGTGTGGCAGTGTAAACGGTGTAACAATGTAGACGGTATCAATGGTGCAAACGGTGTGACCAGTGTAGACGGTGTCAACGGTGTAGACGGTGTGAACAGTGTAGACGGTGTCATTGTATTCCCCGCTAGTGTGATGAGCGTGAGTAGGCAGGATGCGCCACCTGTCGCCTCACGAGGGGTGCCCAGCTCGTGGAGTTGCGCAATCGCCGTTGCGGCTCAGGTGTACGTGTGACGGAAATGAGCAGTTGTCATTATGCTATGCCAAAGCTTGAACCAAGACTCCATGGCGGCATTGTGCGTGTGAGTATTAGCCAAGCTACAAGAAGCAGGAAAGGACAATGACTAAGGTCATTGCCATGTTGACTTATCCCGGGTCATTGCTCGGGGCGGTTATGCTGAGGTAGGAAATTCATCCTTTCTTTCTACTTAGCGATGCTGCGAGCGCCAAGGTCTCTGCGGGAGGTGGAGTATGACGAGGATGAGGAGCTGCCTTCTTTATCTGGAGAGGCAGAACGTTTAGCCTGTGTTCGCCTTGCCCGGGCAGCAATGCGTCCGTTTTTCTAATGTAAGTGGGATGATCCACGTAACTATTTGGGCCCATGCTCCTGGACGATAAGCCTCTTTATGGGCCCGTTGGTACGGTCTGTCAGTCTGTTGCATCTGAGATGGGTAGCCCTGGGTGAAATATCTCCGAAGCAGCCTGCTCTCCGTGGCAGTGCCCTGCCAGGTGGGAGAGAGCATCTTCAGCTCTTTCGCAGCCTTCGCAGCATTGCTGTCTGGCAAAAGCTGCGCCAACTTTGCGTGAACGTGCCGGCCATAATCTCGCAGCTTGCACTGCATAGCAGATTCAAAGAAAATTGGAATCCGATGGCAAAGTTCAACCCATGGAACGGATGACTGGCCATGCTTGGTGGTGCATGTGTAGCTGCCATCCTCTTGAACAATGGGATGCTTTGCTTTTTCGAACAGCTTTGGCAGAGTCTGCAAGAATTGAATGCATTTCCGAGTTCCTGCCACACCGCGGCCCAAATCCTTGGCCGAAAGCCCATGAAAAGTGGCTGCGTCGCATGGTGTGGGAGCTGACTGCTGCTTGGTGACATTGGGTTCAACCAACTGTGGATCACGCGGTGCAGCCCGCTCAAACACCTTCGGTGTGCACGGTGAAGCACTGCATGCTCCGGACACAATCAGCGGTACAGCCCGCATCGAAGTGGAAAGAGTCGGAAAATAGTCTTCTTCGTAGACTGCCAACTCCAAGTCACTCTGGGCTCTGCGAAAAGAAACATGGTTTTCCATTCGCCAATGGCACAGCAACCGCGCAAAGCCGCATGGCACAGCGACATCGCAAATGGAATTTGGCCACACAGTGTGCTACAGACTATATACACCCTAGGGCTCCAAGTACCTCCTTAGAAAGTATTTGGACCCTCCAAGGCCACCCCAAACACCTTCTAAGAAGGGGTCCTTGGAGCCAGGTAACATTCATTGGTGGGCGCCGCCAAGTCGCCAGTTCTCCTACCCTCCTTCCCGCGGCTGCCATATCTACCAAGTGACGTCAGGCCACAGCTCCAGCTGCTTCCCGCACTGCATTTGTACTACCAAGTTCCCGTTTCGACAAGCGTTATACACTTCGGCAGCCAAGCACATGGAAGCCAGCCCTCGACCCGCGCGATCGGGAGGGTTCACTGCGGCAACACAACATTGGCACTTCACCACAGGTTTGAGCGCTCGACACGCACACGGCCCCTGCAGAGAGTTCATCCGGCGCAGCCGGAATTCGCATTTCACCACACGACGATTGGGCACTCGACACACACGACCTCCGCAGAGGGTCACGTTTCGCAAGTCTTGCCAGGCCCCCGGCTAAGCAAGAAAATGCCTCCATTTCGAAGCGACCCTGGACCCTTAAAGATGCTCCAAGCAACCCTCGGTCCTTCCGAACCTTTTGATCGCATCAGGTCGAGTGAAGTGGATGGGCACCGGAACCACAAGTCGTCCACATAGTGGACGGTGACATGATGGTTGAGCTAGATCCCCCTCAGAACCGCCCTAAGCAGATTAGGTGCCATTCACAAGCAGGAGTGCGTTGCTTCATGTGTGGTAACTAACCATGGAAAAACTCACCGTAACTTCCTTGATGGAAACTCTATGATCTGCAACCATGGAAAAACTCACCCCCCGCACCGAAAAAAGGGAAGGCCAACACCCGGTGCCGTTCCTTCCTTCGCCCCCCCCCGCGCGCCACGCGCGGGGCAAGCTGCAAAGGTAGAAAATGTCTTCGAGGAAGTCTCGTGTGGCTTCCTGGGACTCCACCAGGTCGATGGGGCTCCGAACGGCCCACCGGTGGGGTGGATGGGTCGATGGGCCCTTCGGAGCCCCGGAGGGACCCGGAATGCCCTCCGAACTCGGGAAAACGTCCACGATTTTTGGTTTACCCCCTCCGGCTTCCACCATGCGGAAAGTTCGTAGCGAACCTTTGCGAGGCCATCGCAGCGATGCAGGGAGTGATAAAAGGGTTGATTTCATCGCTACTAGTAACAAAGGGCATCGCTACTAGGAGCAAGAAGCTACTAGGAGCTCCTGGCCTTACTACTAGGAGCAAGAAGCTACTAGGTTGGAGGCCATCTCTGGTACACTCCTCCCTGAGGACCCCTACAAGCGGCGGAGCAGAGGTTGCGGGGTTGTTTCTGGGGTTGGGTGGCACCCGGCCACCTGGGTTGACCAAAGAAAATGAGAATGGACTATAAGGAGGTCAACCTACCGGGTTTTGACCCAGTTCCATTATCAAGTATACACTCCGAAGGACACATCCACAATCATCCACAGGGAACGTGTAGTTTTGGGGGCTTTCACTATGGGTTGCTTGAGAAACCTCTCACGAACACATCACATAGAAGTGGAAAGACCACTTAAGTCCCTGCAAAAAAAGACTACTGTCCTCTATAAACAGGAGGTTTTCACTTGCCACGTCATGTTAGTGAGTCAAAGTGTAGAAACTCAAGACTTGTTCCGCTCTTGGTTTGGGCCAATGCGTCGCCCGCCAACCCCGTGCGTGTTCAACACGCGTACGACGCTGCATTGGGTGACCCGAAGGCTGTGTGATGGGGGGGGCATGGCATATCTCGGCCGTAGATGGAGAAAAACAAAACTTTTTCATCCAACCCAGACGCTAATGGGCCCTCACATCACCCTCATATAGAGGGGTCGGGACCCAGCGTCTGGGAATGGGATTTGCCATGATCAACTCTCCAAAGTGGTCAACGCAATCTATCCGACGGTCACGACGGACAAGACTGTCGGTGACCAGTGGTTCTCATGTGCGTGCGACGTTGAGCACAGACCGACCGGAAGAATGGACAGGTGTTCTGCCACCTTCAAAGGGGTGTCCTGTCTGGAGATCCCTGCACTACAGGGGCTTCCAGTCGGTTCGGTCCGAACCGTGCTGCTTTGGTGCTGCTTGAGGTCTTTGACCAACTCCAATACATTGAGGTCTTTGACCTGTAGGTACTGTAGGGATAGGTGAACTTTCTTTCCACCTGTTGAGTGGATGTTCACCAATCCCCTAGCTAAAGGCTGACTTCATCTAATGTAACTACCTCATCCTAAGGGGGATGCCGGATAAAGAAGACTTTCATTGGACTTAGGTGTGCGCCGCAGTACTGATTACCCTCCCTCCAACAAGAATTCATGTGTGGATGGCAAATCTGAATACCAAAAAGAGGGATGGTCCACTTGTACAAACAGTTGGAGTCGAGGGTCGTGTTATAGCTGCTCGTCTTGTATTTGCTGCTTCAGAACCGCAAAACAAACACAAGTCACAGGATCACCCAGAAAAACACGGGAAACAATCACAGAAGTCGATCACCCTAACCCAAACACTCCATGTATGCCATATTTGCCTATACATTGACCCCCTGGCAGCACCCCAGGCAAAGATGGCAGTCCCATTAGTCGTGTCTGGGTTAGCAGCACCCTGTCACCGCCCAGTTACCACGGTCATTCTTCCGATCCAAGGGATCCCAAGGCTATACGCAGGCGAAGAAGCATGGCAGTGGGTCAACTTAAGGACCTAAGGGACTCCGCTGGTCTCTTCCCCAACGGAACATGCACAGCGTATACCAACCCCGACATCCCAGATCCGGGCTCCGTCAGCCCGGCCCTGCTCAGGTGTCCGGTGGGCAGACCGACCCCCCTGGCATCCACCCCGGTCACGCCGGTCGGCCCACCGGTCACCGGAGTCTCGGAGGTGGCCAAGAGCGTCGTCCGTCCCCACTTCGCGCCGTTCCCCCCCACCCCCCGAATCGCCGAGGAGCTGGTAAGGTCCAGCCGTTCCTGTGGACAGGCTGGACGGAGTTTGGGGTATGCCTTCTCTCGTCCGAGCAGCGAAGTGGGGTCGTGTGGATGAATGGGGGATGCCGAAGAGGGTCGTGAGGCGAAAAGGGTCGTGAGACGGGGTGGGATGCCCAAGGGGGACTTGTCCCTGACTTCACAGCTTTGTGGACGAATGATGCCTACCCCTCTGAGGGGATAGACCTCCTTTTCCTCGATTTAGCTGGATTTGCGACAAAAGAAAGGGACCTCAAATCTTGAACTGGAGAGTTGGGCAGAAGAAGGACGAAACATGGACCAACACCGCTGAAAACACCGCTGCCCACCATGCATCATCTGCCCTCCACGTGACCAATTCATATCCATCCCTGGAACTATAACATGGAAGTGGAGTTCACCCCCCTCTTCGGTGTTCGCCGTCCTTCGAACGGCCGTGCCATCCATCCACTTCCACCCATTTGATCTGCGTGCTGGGAACCGGGATGTTTTATATACATCATACATCATCTTCCTGGATCTTCCAACTATGCCAATTTTCCTTTTTGGCTGTTCTTTATGGATGAAAAGGCAAACATTTGTTAACAGTAGTGTTAACAGTTGGAAGATCCAGCTTCACCATGATCCAAAAAACATTCACCCAGTTTTTCTTTCGACCAATCCACCAATGAAACCGCTCTTCTCCGGTCCTGTTGGCTCCCCCCCAAACACCCGGACCTGAACCCACCGGTGAACCACTTCCGAGCATCGTGTGGGCGGTGACGCCCAACAGCAACGCTGACCTCGGTGAACCCGGGGGGCTGTGGACCCACGTGTTGCACCAGCGGATTTCGTGGTGCCAGGGCCATTCTTGGCCGTGACTTTGACCATGGTTCTGTTTGGCCATAGCGGCGTAGATGTGTGCGAATCCAGCCTATTGGGCCTTGCTGTGCGCACGATGTTGCCACAGGAGTGACGAAGTCGGGGAGACAAAGACCATTGGATGGGAAATTTTTCCATTTTTCCCCTATACTCGTCCCGTGACTTCCTGTCTGGAAGTGATGTACTTCGCTTGGCTGAAGACTTCCAGTGGCCACCTGCAGGGGACCCTCTAAATTGGAGACCTGCAGATTAGCAAAGGGAACCAACATTACGGTATTGCACAGCCATCGTAGCAGCTGATTTGCTGATCTAGTATATTTTTACATTTATCTGTACACACAAACACATAGCAACATGAAAGCAATCACACAGAGTCACATAGCATATCGATGTTGCCTTGGTAGATGTTTGTTGATCTACTGCAACAAACATCCCCAAGATCGACACACCCAAAGAACCTCATGAAATCGATCCTCCTGTCCGAGTCGATCCTTGTGAAATTCAGGCGCGAAACCTGATGTGCTCCGCCACTCCCTGACCCAAAAGGAGCGAGTTGTCTTCGCCGCTTTGGCGAGTTGGAGAGCGACGGTCTTTTCGGCACCGGTACTCGGTCCGACCGGAAGACCTTCCGGGAGAGAAAGAGGAACACATGAGACCACACCACCATGGTTATGCTTTTTCATCTGCAATTGCGGCATCTGCGGCATCCACATTCTCCAGCTGAATCATTGCAAATGTCCCTTCCGGCGCATTCGAACCATGGCCCTTCCAGCAAGTCATCGTCCCACGCTCCCCCTTGTCGCCCCACGTCGGCTCACTTGAATGTAAGCAGAGATCTCTGCAACCAACAAGGTTGCTGCGGCCTTCGCCTGTGGAACCAGGGACTTCGCACTTGCTCTCATCGCCACAGATCGGCTGATCCACATCCCTCATGTAGCCGAGGCAACCATCCCAAGATCCCCCAGCCAAACACGCGCTCTCCGGCGGCGCTGACTGCCGGATTTCCGCCACTAACGCCACAGACTCCGGATGTTCACCGAACGAGGTTAATGATGATTCATGGTTCATTATCCACTTTCCTTGGCTTGGGTAAGTAAGGTAGGCCTCTGTCAATCCTTAACACACCTGACTCCCTCAGTTGCGCTGGACAAAAAAGAGGTGAAATCAACGGTCCACCTGTTCTTGTTTAGTAGGGTGTCACCACTGTTTTGCAGCTGATCTACTTTTTTCTGGGCAAGACATTCCCCCCCAGATCCGATCGGATGCCGATCCACCACCAGATCCACCCGCCCAGCTGATCCGCTCCAAGGCACACCACGATGAGCCGGTCCTGTACAGCGCTCGAGGCGCCGATCGCTTGCTCCACATCCGCGCGGAACAAATCCGCCTGGGCGAAGCGGTGGATGGAACCAAAGGGATCGGAGTGGAGTGGAGTTTGTTGGTTTGTCTTGGAAAGTCTACCGAGTTTACTTCAATCTTCAGAAGTTAACTTGGATGTTTCACCTATCAAATGATGATCAAGCGTCAAACGGAAGGATAGGGGTCTGGTTTTACATATCCCTTACACCACCACTCCATGCGCGGCTCCATGCATGGCATCCCCAAAGGATCCAATGGCCGCCTTGTCTGGGGGTTCGTCAGGGTACTATAGGGTATAGATGGTAGGCGGTTTCGTTTCATGTGAGGGGCAAATGTTTGGTTTGTTGGTGTTGGATGTGTCTTTTGGGTAAACACCGATGCACGCCAAAAATAGGGTCCAATGCTCAGTACGGATCCAGTGATATTTCTTATTGGACATGGAGGTTCAACGGAACTTTCCATCTCTTCCCTTTTGGGGGTGTTCACCAATCCTGCAGGCTATTCGACTGTTCCGTTTCGTCAGCGAACGCTCAGTTCGGTGGAGTTCGAAAAACCACTTCGAAGACCCATACTTTGCCAGTAATTAACAGTGGAGGATGATGGTTCAGTTGCAGGCCTTGTTCGAAAATAGTGATGTTCTTGTTTACTGACAGATCTACTAGTAATGGGACAAACCCAACCCATACAATAGTTCACTAGTCCTGGTACGTACCATCAACTTCTAAACCTATAACCATTTAACTGGTATGACTTCCAGCCACCCTGGTGGTATAACCTTTCAACTGGTATAACTTTATAACCATACAACTTCTAAGCCTAAGGACTAGCCTATAGATCCAACATGTCCATCAAGACATAGGAAGGAACATGAAGGAACCCATTCCCATTGCCACCAAACCTCCTGCATTATTGACTCAACTTGCAAAGAGTGCTTTATTAGGCCCCCATCTATCTCTATGGCCCTATAGGCATTTTCTATCCCACCTTTTGGGCGTGTTGACGTTTCTCTCTCTTTTGGGTCGAGCGTTTTTGTCGGGTCCGGTCCACGGCCGGCCCACCGGACCTGAACAGCAACGAGCGAGCACGAACGAGGGCCGGTCCACCGTCTCCTGGATCAGGGTGAAAAGCAGCGGCTTGGAACACCGTCTCCACCATCCTATTCACCATCCCCCCCCCGCAATCCCCAGGCAATCCGATGGTGTCAAGGCAACATGCGTTTTGCCACCAAAAGCGAAACTCGTTCGCACGGATGCGCCAAAAGGGCACGGACGCAGCGATTCTATCCGGAATCCGGACATCGTTTCTAGCCCACACACTCCACGAGTTACCAAAATTTATAGACCTTGAATCAGTCACTCCAATGTTAAAGATGTACAGTATGCGTGTCCCAAACAAATAATATATACGTATGTAACCCTCTCCCCCAGTCAACCCAACAGGTCCGTCTTCGACCGGACCGCCCCGCCCCCGCCCCCGCCTGGGAGCCCACGATCTGCTGCTTTCGAAAGTTGCGGCTCTGCTTCCTGGAACCGTCGAGTCCACGGGTCCGCGGTCCGCGGTCCGCAAAGCGGGTCTGGTAGCCCAAGCATCTAACAGGACCCAGCTGTGTAGTCAAACACCTGCTTTAAAACGGTGTGTGCTTGACAACAAGCATCTAAGACCCAGCAAGAGATGTGGGTCAGCTCCGCGGGTGTTTGTTTTGACCCCATACAGGGTTCGCCCCCTCCCCCTCTTCCAGGACCAGGATAGGTTCACATATCTCATGGACCTGTGCTTTTCTCGAATTCGATGAACGAAAGGAAGGTACAAGTAGGGCAAAATTTTGATTCACCACTCCTCCAAAGACTTGGGTGGAACCCAGAATGGTGCATGTCTTTAACCTTCCTACCTGCCCAGGTTCGACAGTGATGACTGAGGTTCGCTGGTTCGAAACTAGGGGTCTTCTCAGGGACTGTAACAATAAACGAGTTTGCATTGACCACGAGTTTGACTTCTTGGAAGAAGGACCGGTTCGACCTACACAAGTCTACCCGCTTTTCGGGGCAAACGCGGGACATAGGCCAGTGTATCAATCCACCTGCCATTGGGCTACCCCTAGTTAAACAACAAAACTTGCATTCTTCCCACCAAAAAGGAACACTCCAAGACAACCAGAACCGGACATCTCACATCTGACCTCGTGCTGTTTCGTTTCGTTTCGTTCCACCTTTTTAAAGGACATTGTTAGATGGAGGATGGGCTCATAGATATCATGTCTGCATTCCGCCGAGCTTCAGATGCAGATTCTCGAAGTAGTTGGCTCGGTTATATCCTGGCGCAGTCCACATACGGGTATCTCTGGGGCTGCGTACCAAGATATTCTTGGAGCTTGGAGAGGCTTTTCAGGGACATGCATGACTAACTCCCTCCCTCGCTCTCACTAACTCCCTCCCTCCCTCACTCTCCCTCACTCTCACTCTCACTCTCTCTCACTCTCACTCTCTCTCACTCACTCTCTCTCTCTCTCTCGCTCTCCCTCTCACTCACACCCACACTCACACACGCACCCACCTGACCTCACCTCACCTCACCTCACCTCACCTCACCGCAACGCAACTCAACTCACTCAGTCTCCCTCTCCTCACTCTTACTCACTTTGCCCCTCTCCTCTCCTCTCCTCTCCTCTCGTCTCCACTCTGCGGACTCTTTCGCCAAAGTGGCCAGGGGTGTCTGGATCTGGAGCCTCCTTGGATTCTAGCTCCTTGGCAGCAAAAAAAAGACCTTTGTCACTCTGCCCTTCAGGCATGAATGATGGAAGGTGTGCCCACAGCGTCTAACCCTGCAGTTCTGTTGAATTCGTGGTCTTTAAGAATTGCTCTTCTGCCACGGCTCGGAGACCACACGTCGCTGTCCCAGTGGCCTTGATGAGGCCCGCATGTGGCGGGAACCCGATGCGCCCGACTTGAATCCGCTCATCATTGTGGAGCCTGATTCTGCGGCGTTGAAGAGCTTGATGGAAGCTCTTGAGTCAACTCTTGAGTGATGGAGGTTGATGTCCGCGGCACGTTTCTCCTTGGCATCGATTGCCTCAACTCCTGTTTGCACCTGCCTTCTTGGGGAAGTCAGTCCTGACAGTATCCATTCAAATGGAAGGACTTTGCCACACCACATCTCCACATCTGCGTTGACTGATGCGACAAAGCCTTGTTGGTGGTTCCAATGGCCAGTGCGTGGGAGATTATGGTCTTCTCATGTCTTCTCCTTCTTGCACACATGACACTGGGTCGTTCCCAAGTATCGAACTGAGTGGGTGGACGAATCGCACTGAGTGGGAGTTCTTCTTGGACCAGCAGCGATCAGTAACCTTAAGATGCAGAGTAACTCAGTAAGCATCCATTAATTAGGCATCCATTTTCTTGGGAAACTTGCCTTTCCTGACCATTATCTGCTCAATCGATATAGCCAAGAGCGAGGGCGTGCGTGCGTGCGTGCGTGGGTGAGTGAGGGAGTGCAATATAGTCGGCGACTATGCGATGGCTGAGCTACAAAGCATAATACGTCGGAATCCTGACACTGTTAGAGTGGATAGCCACAAACCCTGTTTTGTTGTTGCAGGACATCCGGACGACAGAGCACCAGAGTCACCACCGTTCGTTCACCATGGATTTATTGCTGGTCTCAATTGGTTGACGCAGACATGGGAAGCGCCACCAAGCAGGACTTTCCGGGAAGCGCCAGCTTTTGGGAGCGGGAGCGGATGTTGCGACAGGGTAAGCTTTATTGTTCGCAGCGATGGCCTCCAACCGAAGTAGCGATGGCCTCCACCGTGCGGGGCTTCGTGTTACTATCTAAGAATCCGGGCCCTCAAACAGGTGGGGTTTGGTTCGGCCCCAGACCCCTGCCATGGACTGGACAGCCCAAGGATTCTTAGGGTAGAAAGCTTTATTGTTACAGGTGAAACAAATCCCAAGCACGACAGAGTCTGATACGAGTCTTCTTTTTTCACTACACCAAAATACACCATGTTACCAGGTATGTATCACCAAACAAATCCCTAGACTTCCAAGACCATAAAAAGAATGGTTGACGTGGTTTTTGTAGTGTAAAATCCTTCGTTGATTCGGGATTCAGCCAATCCAGAACAAGCAGCAAGGAGGCGACGATCAACTTGCTCACCTCCCTGATTTGTTTGATAACTTTTGCATGAGATTGACCAACATTGATCCCCAAAACCTATAAATCTCCAACTGGTTAATCCAACTGGTACCGAACAATGTTGGCTGAGGTACCGAACATTAAACCAATCATTCCAACTGCTCGGTACATCAGCCGCTCCTGTCTGGGACCCGTCACCATGCACCCGTTCCTTTGCGCCGGTCGCCTGCCAAGTGCAGCCCCGCGGCGCCGGCCGCGGCGGCCGCGGCCGCGCCCACTTCCATGGCGGACGGAGGGTTTTGTCCAAGTGGACGGATGGAAAAGGTCCGTGGAAGAGCGAATGGGGCGGGAGGGTTTTTTCCTGTTCGGGGCGTTTTTTTTCAGTTCGAATTCGTGGGCTTTTTGGTGGTCTCGGAAGGTCTTCTGTGGTTGATTTCTGTTTGAATGTTCCGTGATTTGTCCCAGTCTGGCTCAAAAAAGGAGCGTCGCTTCAGTATTCCCAAGTCTTATCCCTTTCCAAACCTCAAACACTTCCTAAGAAGGTAGTTGGAGCGCTCAGGGCAACTTTGGCTCAGCTTACCAGCTGGTTCCAGAATTGAACGGTTTCACGATTGTTTGTCGCGCTTTCTCCATGGTGTCTACATAGCCGCAGGTATACCTTCCCCATGGATACCTTCCCACAAGTGAGGGTCTTCCGCTTCACGAAAGCACATGTCTCTGGGGTGTCCTGTCGGTCCTGGAGAGCGAAACCAGCCAGGTGACGAGGTGCTGAAGGTGCTGGGTAGGTGGGGTCTTGCGTGGGTCCCTCCTTCCACATGACAGTGACAATGCAAGTTCAAGGGAGTCGCAAACACCTGGTCCCACTGCATCCCAGGCAGGCAGTTCCCACTAGTAGTGAGGAACCAGAAGGGGCCCTCGTTCGGTCGAACCGGTTTGGTCGTCGTTGCCTGGAACCACTAAAGCTCCCAGCGACCTCGTGGTTTGCTATAGGGAGTCGCCAAAACCTCTGGTTCATGGAGTGAGTGCTCCGCATCAAGTGCGTGCTACAAAACTGGCTTGGATCCAACAAGCGTCGGGGATCAAGGAGCATCAGCGTCCGGGGACATGGCTCGGTCTGCCAACAAACACTGGGAGCATCTGTAGAAAAAACCCTACAAACACAGTGCAGTGAAGGGGCTATGGCCCCTCAACTTCCATGTTTGTTGGAGGAAAGGCAAGATTCTACAAATATTGAGTGTGCGGAACTGTCCTCTAGCTGTTCACTTCGAGATCGAACACAGGCAACACATGTGTGGTAATTGCTCTTTCAAAGGCTTCCCCTTGGTCTCAGTGAAGTAGTCGAGCAATGATGTTGCCTGTTGATGAATAAGAGGTACACTCCCGAAAACTAACATGGAAATGGAGAACCACCTGTTTGTAGTGGAAAATAGTCTTCCAAGGGGCCATTCTCCACTTCCATGTTAGTCTTCCAGGGTGTAGGGGGGTTGAAATGTCATCAAAAGTCCTCATTAATCGGTTCGGGCATGCAACTCCAAGAAGCGGGCACTGCCTGACTAAAGGCCCCTTCCACTCAATACCTTTTGTTCAAAAATCTCTTGGCTCACATCTGGTGACGATCAAAGACGACAGACCCCGGTGTGCCGAACAGGTTTGGTCGTCTGACATCTGGGGACAACGAGGGGTCTTCGGGTCTTCCCACTTTGGGTCTACCCAGGTCTACTTAGGCGCAACACGCCATGAGTCGACTCGAACCAACAGGGCTGGAGTCGAACCCATTTTCTTGACCATGGACAATCCGAAAATCAGGTGTCCCTGCTTTCAAGAGGTCTGTCCAAACGAACCATTGAACAAAGCACCATCTTCTGGAACTGGATCGTGGGCAAAAGGTGGAGAGCTTTTCTTTTTCGGTGTGCCTGTTGGGCTTCCGTAGTTCTCCCATGCTGCCTATATTCCTTGGGTCGAGTCTAATACCTGGGCCCAGTGGATGATGATGGTTCAGTTGCAGGCCTTGTTCAAAACCCTAGAAGTCCAGTTCGACTATCTTTTGACCGACTGATGGATCCAGGATGTTCCTGGACTCGGGTCACCGTTCGCCAGACCATTCTTTTTATAGTCTGACCGACTGAAAATCGTGATGTAACAAAATTGTATACTGACTGTTACAGGTAATAGGACAGACCCAAGACAAACAGATTCAACACAACTATGATACTATCATATATACCAGGGCCCCCGTTTCGGGGTGGTAAATGGACATCCCTTAATTTAACCTCTAAAGAGCTTTTTATTGGACACCCCGATTGGGCCTAGGGGGCCCTGGTACAGGCCTTAGTTCTTGTCTACTGCCGGACCAACCCACGGCGTCGCTCCCACGGCGAAGGAACGGTCGAACCAGCCCGGAGAAGGCACCGGGCACCGTTTTGGTTCCAGTTCTCTCAACCTCTCTGCCCAGTGCATCCAATGGTTGAATGGAAGGCTGGGTAGAGAGGTAGGAAGAGACAAGAGAGGTAGGAAGAGAGGTAGGCTAGCATCACGGGACTCGTGGTGTGGGAGTGAACCATCCCCAGTGCATCCCAGGCAAACCATGGACCAGGGGCCCTCGTTCGGTCTGCGGTTTTAGTCGAACTGGAGTCGCAAACACCTGGTCCCACTGCATCCCAGGCAGGCAGTTCCCACTAGTAGTGAGGAACCAGAAGGGGCCCTCGTTCGGTCGAACCGGTTTGGTCGTCGTTGCCTGGAACCACGAAAAAGCTCCCAGCGAGCTCTCGTGGGAACTGCCTGGATGCCGGCTTGGTACAACCAAAGCCCACCAAAAGGATGATTTCTTTTCACAACTCTACACCCCCGATCCATTAGAAGGGAATCAGCAAAGGGGCGGTTGGTGGGTGCGAGGAAATCCTTCGTGCCAAGGACCCTAAGGACCCTTGCTTCAGGCACCGGGTTTTACCGCAAAACCAAAGGAATACCGGGTACCATACCCCTCCTCCAACCCCCCCAAAGAGCCACCCGGTAGAGGTTTAGACCGGCTCACCTTCTCGCCGTCACCCCGTCTCGGCTCCCCGGACGGAGCGCCGCGATGAGCGCCGTCTCGCCGTTGCGATCCGCGTGGTGCAGCTGCGCACCTCGGCAACGCGCGGGTCGACCGGAGCTCGGTTCGGAGCCTCCAGTGACGTTTGGACCACCAGCACCGTAGCCAAGTCCGGTCTCCCACATGGAGGGTTGGGAAAGGGCCCTAACAGCAGGTATGAATGAGTGACCTGTTGAAGGTGCTGCTATTTAAGTCACATGGAAACAACCACCTTCTAACCTGCGCGCCTGGCCCCCAAACATGGCCGGAACAGTTGGAGAAAAGCCTGGCATTTGGGGCGCCACAACTCGGAAGCGCACCTGCGTCCAAGAGGAGCTGGATCACCTGAAGCGCACCCTCCTCCGCCGACAATGCCGAGGCCTGAGTCTTCGGGAGAAGAGACGAGCGGAGTGGACTCCGTCAGGCTGTTATTGGAATTTGGAGGTTCACCGAACGAACTGGACCTGTTCGAAAACTCTCTCCACTCAGAGGCAATCCTTGTAACACTGCAGACACTCTGGTTGTTGCAGCACGCATGGACAAAGAAGCATCGAGAAAAGAACCAAATTAGGAAAACCACGAACTCCACCTGTTCTTGCTTTCCCCATCTTCTCCCAGAAAGTGTGCCAGCTGATCCACTGAGCTCCTGTGGTAGGAAGTGGATACCGAACTGACTGATGTCATAGGGAACGATCATATATAGCAATGAAGAGACCAAAACCTCCTATATACATCTAGGTGTTCAATGTTTGGTTTTCAGAACCACTGCACTGGTAGCTGGGAATAAATAGATTCACTGGACCTGCTCACCACTCCCGGTAGACAGAATCTGAGAACCACCAGTTCCACAAACGAACAAATGCAAACGAGTTCCACACCCGGTTCCTTCTACAGTGCAGGTTGGAGTCACTGGGATTTGTGCCAACTGTTCAAAAAAGAGCCAGGTCAACATCACTGACAAATGTTCAATTTTGGAACATCATAGAAATCAACCGATGAACAAAACCATGAGTGAACACCGAAAAAAATCACGACTTGTATAAGCATGGTTGTTAAAATGGTTGTTGGTGCTCACTTTTAATGATTCCTTACCGTGGATGGCACTTGAACTCCTTGAAACCTTCTCATTTACTTGTGTTTGGTCTAACACAGTATGGAACACTCGTATCTCGGCGGGCCACACGAGAGACTAAATGCATATAGTTTTGCCCACTTGCCCAGTGAACAATCACCTACAGCACCCGTCGCGCCCGAATCCCTTCGTCCGTCCGTTGCCGCGGACACCAAGTCGTGCCGGGCACCATGTGACCGGGTTCTTGCTGGGACATGAGTCAACTTCCCAATGAAGCCTCATGAAAATCTTGGGCCATTATGGGCCATCTTTCATGAACTGTTCAGCCTTTCAGATATATAAACACAGCAAACAAAGAACACATTTTTGGGGGATGCAAATCTCCTGGCAAGCTGGACATGGCGCCACGTGCTCCCTCCCGAACACAACTCCATCTCTTAGCAGCTTCTGGTGACAAAGGCTGCCCCCAAATCCCAAACTCCTCTATTCGGTAATTGCAATTCTAATTAAGTTCTTATTGTTACTACTAGTAAGGCACTTGTTCCTAGTAGCTTCCTAGTAGCCCAAATCCCAAACTACTCTATTCGGTTTGGGCGATGCACATGAGTCCGCTCCTCCTTCGTGGCTTCACACTTTCCGCCGAGCTCGCGGAAGCCGAGGCGCCAGGTGCAGCAAACTGCTATTCCTCCCGGGATTGGGCCTCGAACGGGGTCGTTCAACAAGAAATACGCGACTGGCGCACGCACTCTCCGGGCACTTATATCTTCGGTTTTGGTCTTTTTCCTGGAAGCAGTTAGGATGCGCTGTTTGAAGGATAAGTATAGAAATAGTATACTCTTTAAGCCGGATTTGCACTCTAATTTTGGCCCCTCTGAATGGTAGGAAAATGGACACACTCCCAAAATCTAACCCTAAGGTTTCTAGGGGTTAGGGCTTTGAAGTCCTAAAGCCCAAAGCCAGGGATTTGAAACCCTAAGGTTTAGGGGTTAGGGCTTTGAAGCCCTGAGGTCCAAAACCAGGGCTTGGTAACTACAAACCAAATTGACCATGTGGTGGCCACTGATGAAGAAGGTTTCTTGGCCTCAGGCTTTGGATGAAAGTGGCACTCCAAATCCGGTAGCATCATCATGTCTGCATCAGGTCGC